TCAGCCCGATCCGATCATAGAGTTATTATAATGTACGCTAGAGGTTCAACTGGCGCTAGTGTGCTGCTGCAAATTGAAGCAGACAGCAACCAGTCCGAAATTGACTTCCGGTAATGCATTTCTATGGGAAAAAGCGAGTGCATTTTCTCGCTGCGCTCGATTATAAGAGCAAATATCACGAATATTTCGTACGTACTGGCACATTGGAACATTTCTCATTCACGCGGACGAAATAATTGGTCAGTTACGGCGTTTTCACTTGAAATTCGTGGTATAAAAAACGGTGCTAAAACCGCTTCGTACATGTATTTATGTACACTGTCGGACACTATTAGCGCGCATACGGCATCGGCGCTTTCCGCCATGGGGGATATACGTGTCAAACGAACGAAGGACATATGGAAAACCAAGAGAGACGGCAAGAACTAAGCAGTAACACAGGACAAGTAAATCTTTGTGCATGCAGGCGATCAAAATAAATTGAAAGCCACGTAATATAGTCCTATTTGCAATAAATAAGTACTGCTTTATTCTTTCTGCTCATGAATATGTGCGAAGATGCATGTTCTGGGCTCAAATCATCAACCGCACGCTCCAAATCTTTGCAAATAGGGAGAAGTCAGAGAATAGGTGCCCGATAGAAACTGCCCGACATAGGAAATAATAAAAAGGCGCACCTTTCGTAGTCCACGCACTTTATTTCTTACATTCAAATGTTTTAACCGTCGTAAAGAAGCACGAAGGAGCCATTTTCATAGAGTGACAGGGCGGGCATAATAGCAATATATAAGCGCCACTGCAATGCTAGCGAACCTTGAACACATTCTACATTCTTTTCGATCGTTAGTTTGCTTAGAATCGTCGCTCGTTTTTACATACCTGCCATGGAACATAGGTTTGGGCCTGAAATATAGCGAAGCTTAACATCGTTCGGTGGTAAAGAAAAATGGTGTAATTAAAGCAATTACACTTTTACAATATTAATAAATGTACATACTATCCGGTACAACCGAAATAATAAAAGTTATGTTATTTTCCGGCGAAGAGACAAATTTCACACGCGTTTTCTTATAGGAATGCACAGGAGCACCGCAAAAGTAGACTGGTTGCTGTCTGCTTCAATTTGGCTCCCGGAAGTCGCATAGACACTAGCGCCAGATGAACCTCTAGCGTACATTATAATAAATCTATGGATCCGATAACTTAATTAAAAGTTATAAGTGATTTTCTAAAAATTTCAGTGGAAAATGGCGGCCTGCCCCAAGTGTTAAGGTCTTCCGATATGGTGAGTTGCTTCTTGCGGCGTTTCTCTGGGGCTAGCAGGAAGATCGAACCCGTGTCGTCCACTCCACTGTAGGCTGTTCTAGTGGAGGTGTTGGCTAACATATATGGTTTCTTTTTGATGTTGCTCTGAGCCGCGGTGACGTGTCGGGACTCCGTGCAGAAGCGCAAAACGTCAATATGAGTCTTGGTCATGTCATTCCGGACGCACGTTGCCCGGTACCCTCCACGGCGTGGCTTGCCCTACAATGCCCATTTTGGGGATGATGGTGGCGTGCTTGTATGACCTCTATCCTGGCAGCTTGAGATGTCGCGTGTCAACCTTCTGCAGAACAATGACAATATGTGCGTTCTTCTATAGACGCTCCAACCTAAGTCTGATTTCCGCTCTTCTTATCTTTATCCCCCTGCAGTTCCATTTTAAGATCCTTGCGGGGTTCGAGATTCTTCTCTTGTTTACAGTAATTCTCACTACCACCCTCTATAGTTGAGTTGGGCCGTTTCGGTCGAACAGTCAACACACTTGATGACCTGGGTCACTATTGTTTTTACTTCGTGGATTTTGGCCTTGGTGGATTGACATCATGCTAATATTGCTTGGAAGATTCCCATTATGACGAGATTTTCCAGGGTGATCATGACCTGTTGTTTTCCGGTCGCTAGGCCAACACATAGGCAGTTTTTGGGTGCTTGTTTTTGTTCCTTGCCCTTCTGAGGCAGCTAAGGTCACTCATGTTCTTTGTCCTTTGCTGGTTGTTGTCTCCTGTTACACTTCTTGGGTGGTAATGTCTTATACATCTAGAGTGGAATTGCTCTTTTTGAACACAATCTCTTTATGGCTGGATATTTTCCGACGCAGTTCCTGCTCTTTTGTGGCCTGGTGCCCTCTTCATCTTCTTCGTGTTGCTGGGTACAGATCCCGTTGTAGCACTTCTCGCTGGGGAATATGTCAGTGCGGTGTTCGATGTGGCGGCATTTGAAGAATATGGTAGTGTTAGGGCGTTGCTCGTGCACACCGCATGTAAGCCTGCACAAGCGCGCTTGTATTGGCCTCGTTGTACCCTCAAAAGTTATCAGAACTGTGCTCCTATTAGGGACGATGATGTGAACGTTGAGTTTTTGTGGGTTCGTTAAAATTACATCGACTTAAAAAAAATCGAGCTTAAAATAAGCGATGTCCTTGCACTGAATTGGGTCTTGCGCGTTCACAGCAGACTTGTACGACACTCATTAAATGTAATCAAATGACTCATAATCGATTACATTTTGGAGAAATTTTGTATTGGTAGGATTGCTTTTATCATCTAGTAATCGAAGGAGTAAATTTATTACTTTTGAAAGTAATAAACTATTTATGACCGCTACTAATCCCCAGTTTCTTCGGATTTCTACTCTACGACGACTTAAACATGTAGTCATTATACCGAGCTAAACCTGCAGCGATAAGTTCACTTTATCGGTTTTAAACGCTGGAAACCGTAAAGAAATATAAATACATTGTTACCGAGCTCTAATAATAGAAACAGGCTCTTGTCTGGGCAGTTCACAAAGTAAATTGCTGGGTATCGGGCTCAGATGTTCAAGTTTGAGTTCTCTACAAACGCTTCTACTGGAAAGTCCCATGGTTAATATAGAATCTTTTTCTTTTTGTACTCTTCTATCCGAATCCGTCTCAAAGCATATTACACTCGTCTATTCAAAAGATAACTAAATCCTGATAGTGCAAATGCTAAGGTGTGAAAAGAACGCAGCTTTCTGCCAATGTGTGTTAAGCACTTGGTTTTCCACAAGAATACACTACTTTTGGCAGAAGTGGCGCCAATAGGAGAGAGAAGAAGCTTATTTGTACATATCTGGAAGAAAAAAAAAACACGTCGCAATGAGTACAAAAGGAATTTTTACGGAGATGAATCTAGGTCGCCGTAGCACAGTAGAGCTAACCGAATCTGCGTTCTTACATCAAAATAATATTTGCGCTCGCTGGTGCCTCACCCACGTAAAAAAATAATAATAATAAACCTCAATTTTAGCATTTGGGAAGGGTAGATAGAGACGATGAAGAGTCTTGTGTTTCTTCAACAATACGCACGTTTTCAAACCTGGAAGAAACTCGTCAATAAGCTTTGTGTAATATCTTGGAGCGGAGTTTGTACTTATATTCATATCTCTATTTAGTTTCATGCAGATATTTGTTTTCGAGGGGTGAGCTATATTATTTCACCCGATTTTCTCAATGTTATAAGGGATAATGGCGCAAATTTTTTAATGAGAGAAAAATATTTGAAAATGTAACAATTCGTTTTGGAAGTAATGTCTAATTACTGTTTCTCTGAAGTAATTACGTAATATAATTGAATAATTTTAAACGAAATTTAGTCGCTCGCCTACAAATCGGCAATCGGTACAGCTTTCCCCCTAGGGATCGCGATTCATAGTTTCGTAGATTGTTCCGACGGCAGATATTTTCGAGTTTTAAAAATGTATTTGAGATAATGAATGCAAGATAGTGATAAATAAAATTAAGATAGAGTAGCTAATTCTCCGTAGTGAATATGTATGCAAGATACCAAAGTACTACCAAACGTATTTTAAATACATCTCGAGCAAACTAATTAAGATAAGCACAAGTCTGCATTAGAGTCACGATTATAAATGATTCCGTTTCAGTTGTCGCTTTTACTTTCCCGGCGCTTTGCGGACCATCGTCACTCGATGGAATTATATGAATGCCGGTGCAGCGCGCTTCTTCGGGGGATGTTTGTCGTAGAAACGCGTGGTGGACGCACTGACAGAGCGGCCATTGCCGAGCGTTGCGGCTCATCCTCCTCGGAGAACTGGCGGTAACAGTGCGTCGTGTTCGGACTGCCGTGTTTGGTTCCTGCCGTGCTCCGCCCTCGCGTTTGACTTTCTCGAAGGCGCTGCTGTTACTCTTCTTTGAATTTTCTTCCCTAACCATCATCACTTAAACGTGAGAAGAATGCTGCACCACTGAATGTATTTTGAAGTGTATATATGAAATACATATAATTGCGGTCTGTGGACGTCTCCTCCTTCCATACATCTAGCGAATGTCCTGCCTCGCAGAAAGAATAAAGTGTGGCACAAGTGCGTTCCGTGCCTCCGCCATGGTGGCGTGACCGGCGACGCAAATGTTCGTTGCATCATTGCATCAGAAAAAAGAAACCAAGAAAGGCTTTCAAATTTAGTGTTTCACTGAACCACCGTAAAATATTGTACGTACTTTTTATATTGCTAAAATGACTCGATATGTCCTTTTACGAGTATGCCCCGCTAGTTTCTAACAGGCTTGAGCTGAGCTAGTTGGTTCATAATTCACTTAAGGCCAACTGAACTCGAAAAAACGCTAGTTTCTAATTGAAACCATAATTTAGGTTTTTTCAAGAAAAACTATAATCATAAAAAAACAGTAATAAACTGGTTATATCAAACGTTGATAATTTTCACAAGTAGCCATTTTAGTAGGAATCAAAACGATATTCACTGTTTCCCTGTGAGAAGCGTACGTGTTGCAAGAACGATTTGACACGCGTTTCTAGAATAGTCCTGTACGCTCTTTTATTACTGTCATTTCTCTGGCAGGCAACGGGAGCGCTGTACCATGTGGTAGCTTTTGTACCGTCAGCCGCCAGCTCCTTTGAACAGACTCGAGGTGTTGTAGTATATAGTTTAAAGAGTCTCATCCTATCCCGTGTACATACCGTGGACATTTCACCCCTGAAGCCTCTGAAGCATGGTGTACCAATGCCAAAGCCTTGAGTAACATTTCTTCTGGTGAAAAAGTACACATGCATTGAAAAGGATATCATCAGCGACGATTTGTTGAACACCTTTTTGTGTAAACTGGTGTAGTTTAGAGCATCCACCTAATAAAAAAAAGTATATATCAATACAGTTGCAAAACACATTAGTACAGATGTGCCGAACACAAAAGCGAGAGGCCGGATCCGGCCCAAGACAACTTTTATATTCTTCTACCTATGGAGAACTAAAGCTCTTAGCCACACTTGAGAAGTCTAAACAATCTATGGTTTAGATTAGTGACCGCTTACCGTATCTATCTTGATCACATACAGATACGTGACGAAAGCACTAAAAGAGTGCATACACCATGCTTCTACGCAATTGGGGGGGGGGGGGGTCGAGGATTTTACTTTTTTATACTTAGATGTTCGGCGGTAGATAAATATTTGATTAGAAAACATTTGCATCTTCAGCACTAATGTTAGAAACCATTCATACAAAACGGTTATTTTTTTTTTCCTAGGTGAGATACCGCAGCCCATAGCGTCTAGAAAAAGTTTAGTTCACAGCTGGTTGAGCATATGTAAATGTAAAAAAATGGCCACTATATTTGAATTTATTACTTGAACCATAGTAAACTGATTTGCATCAAATGAGAACGCAACAGACGCTCGTGTTAAATATCTGTATTCTTGCACCGGCCCCCTGCACTTTTTCAAAAAGTCGCCGCGTCGCTCTATCCTTCATTATTTTTCCTTCTTGAGACGACATCAAGATTGCCCAAGATGGTGCGAGAGTAGGCCGTGTGGACTGTTTCATATTGAGCCCCGACATTTTCCTAAACTATGCTTCATTGAACGCTATTTCATTGAAACATATTACAAAATGTCAGTTCAACAAATTCGTCTTGAAGCACAACACCTTTCTGGCACTTTAAAAATACAAGGGGTTGCAGTTACGTTGTAAGAAGTGTCTTGCAAAAGACTATGTCAGACGCACGTGCCCGTAGAGGCCAATATGGCCATGCCAGGCTCACTCTCCCCGTGTAGTCCGAGATGGCCACGGGGGCAAAAACGAGATAGCAAAAAAGGACGACGACGGACCAAAATGAACATTTACGTTTGGATTGCGATCGGTTAGTAAAGGTTCCATCCTAACAAGTAGGGCTTGTCCGAGATTGAGGATAGACAACGTGCAAGTAGCGAATGAATTCATAGTCCACCTTCTAAGAGAAACCTACAGATCCACGATGTAGCGGGAACAAGCTTCTACTCAAGTGCGCCTACTCGTTCTGACAACTGCAGTGCCTCCGCCAACGAACCCGAGGTAACCATGGCTGCAATCCACCCGTCTGGTGGACCTCTGTAAAGAATTGCTGCGCAGTTGCCGAAATTTACAGGCTTCAGTGATCGAAAGTTGCCCAAAGCATCCATCAAAATGCTCGAAAACCTTGGCTTAATTACGGGAGTCGCCACTGAATACTGCCAAAGGCAGATCATTCCGGCTGCATGGCAAGAGGACGCCATATTATGGTTGCGTTTTATTGGAAAATTCGGAAGTTGACATGAATTCGCGGCTGCAATTCATGCCGAGTTTGCGCCAATCGTTGCCAAACGACGTCTAAAAGCTGAGTTTACCCCACCACACCCAGCGCCCCCGAAAAGAGCCTCACGAAATTCATTTACAATTATCGCCAAACGTTTCTAGAAAAAAGGGGAAGAGGTCCCCGACTACAAAAACATGAAAGCCGTTTACAACTCCCTGTAATGTCGAATTAGACGTTCAGCTCTTGAGGAGGAGAAGAATAGGGTACTGAGGGTCACGTGTTCTCGGGGGGGGGGGGGGGGAGCTCACGTGACCTGTGGGAGGGGTCACGCGACCTTTGGTGGTCATGCAATCTTAACCGAAACTCTCGGCTGTACTTCCCTTCCCGATGATCAACAAGATACAGGAGACAGTCCAACCATTCGTTGCAAGTTGCACTGTGTCAATTCCAAAAAATAAGTGATAACTGACGGTTGACTTCAAGACTTGCGGGAACAAGAACGTGTGCGTCATAGCACCTGTCAGTGGGCCAGTGCGCCTGTTCTGGTGGCCACAAAGTCCGAAGGCTTTCATCAGGCAATAGGCTAATCGGCAGCTCAACTCACGCACCAGCATACCTGTGTGTCCGTGGCCCCGAACCGACTTGCTGCTGGCACAACTCGGGGGAGCAGAGCCGTTCATTACCTTTGAACTTTCGCAGGCTTTTTGCCAATTACTACATGCGAGAAGGTTGCAACTCGAAGACGGCATTCATATACCAGCAGGGCACCTTCGAGTTTACAAGGATGCCGTTTGGTGTCGCAGGGGGTCCATCTTCCTTTAAGACGCTAATGAATAAAGTCTTGATTGGAATGAACCACCAATTTGCTATGGCATTTATGGGCGATGTCCTTGTGCATTCAAAGACGTTGGGCAGCAATGTCGCACATGTCCGAGATGCCCTAGATCGCATCAGATCAACAGGACATCAACCCCGACAAGGTTCAGGTGTGCTGCCAGTCGCTCAACTTGTTGAACCATGTAATAAGCCTTCGAGAATGTAGGCCGAACGACGGGAAGGTGGTTGGCGGTACTTAACTGCCCTTGACCCCCCACAATCAGGCAGCTGGACGTCTTTCTGTGATTGGCTGTCTATTACCGGATTAATGAAAAAACAGTTAGGGCGCAGGCGAGCTGGTGTAAGTTTACCATTTCTTTAGACCACCTGAGACGTCGTCGTGTTTCTTCCACCCAGTCTCAGGTGGTCTAAAAAAATGGTATTACCGGAACTCTATAAGACTTTTTTTTTACTTCCCTGCCCCCTTTCCGATCTTTTGGGAGAAGATCAAATGTGGATATGGAATCACCAGCAAGAGCCAGCTTTCACCCTGCTGACGGAAGCACTGGCTCACGACGCGGCGATGAGTTTGCAGGGCATGAATCAGCCCTTTGTGATGGAAATAAATATCATCCGAGTGGGCATAGCTGCAGTGCTTTTACAGGAAGGTCCCAGTCAGCTGCAACAGGTGTCCTTCACCTGAAGGGTACTTAGGGAAACTGAGCGACGTTACACCGTCGAGGAGCAGGAGTCTCTCGCAGTGGTCTCGGCAGCGGACAAGTTCAGACATTACTTCCAGTTTACCGAGTTTGAAATTCACTACGATCACTTCTGACTGTCCTCGTTCAGCTCCGACCAGGCCTAAACAAGAGTCCAGCGTTGGGTGCTTCGACTCTAGGGCTTTGCAAAATAAGGCACTGGAGAGGTGTTGCAAAAAACCAAAACAGACGCCCTCAATAGGGCACCTCTCCAGCAACGTGGAATACCTGATCAGAGCCTGCCAAAGTCTTTGTTCCCTATCTCTACACTGGAGTCCGAGCCTCATAACCTTTGAGGCAGCTGCAGAAGTGTATTGTATCGACGATGTCACCTGCTTCAACAACAGAGCGATATTGACTGAGGAGCCAAAACTGGACACCTTTCTGTTGAGGTTCCTCAGAGCGAAACAAAGCATGAAGCTTCCTGATGATGACCCTGGCCGACGCCTGCTGGCAGACTCGTCGAAAAAAAACAAAATAAAGTCCAAAACTTTGCTTGTTCAACTTCGCGGGGAATGAAAGGTGCCTTGGCTGGCTGCCTACCCACCTCCTACAAATGACACTCAAGATATCCCTACACGCGCTCACGCAGTTTTTTTTTCTTTGTTTTTAAACTAAAACCCGTCTTGACCCGTTTTTTCTGGTTGGGAATGAGAGCTGACTTGACTAGGCATGTTCTTTGGTCTCAAGTGTGCCAACGCATTAAAAGCCCAGCGCCAGAAGACCGAAGAACCGATGAGCAGCCAATGGGCGCGTTAAGTGATGGAGGAGTTAAGAGGTGATATTTTAGGGCCCCTGCGCTCCATAACTAGATGCAGCAAGATCCTTTTGTTGATAAGGGACAAATTATTTGGGTAATAAGGAAGCCTGCAACAATACTCCAAAGCGACCGTGTCCTTTTTGATGCACACATCTTTAGCGATTTGAACAAGGGCATTACAGCAAAGTTCGTTCCACGGCGCACAGGGCCCTTCCATGTGGTTCAATTCCTGGGTGCTAAAGACGTTGTGCTTAAAGACCCAGTTACTTGGCGAAACCGGCACGTAGCTCAGGCGGACTAGGTGACACCATACCACGAGCCAGTTCGAAATCTACTCCTCCATGAATCACGTTTCAAGAAAGGGAGACCTGTGAGGAGTGTCTGGCAAAAGACTATGCCTGGAGCACGTGTCCAGTAGAGGCTGAGACGGCCATGAGGGGACGAACGAGGCCAGCAATAAGAACGTCGACGGAACAAAAAGGGCAGTTAGGCTTATATTGCGACCTCGTAGTAAAATTTAAATTCGAAACTTCTTGCGTGAGGCTTTAAATGGCAATAAAATTAATTGGTTGCAAATAAAATATTTTTATCTTTATTATATTCATGTGAAACGTTTTATCTCTACGTGTTGGGCATTTTCTGAAACCTAAGAAAAAACATAGCCGCCCGGCTCGACTCTCATTGGTTCACAGGTAAGATAGGTGCTTTACGCTGGTTAACGTGGAAGTCATGGGACCAGACGGGAATTTAGCATAGAATGCTCTAGAATATTGACAGGTTTATTTTCTCGAGTAGCGGTAGCATCGCTTCATTAAAGGAAGAGCTCACAAGTGGGCATATTTTACGTGTTAAACTATTCGATCAAAAGCGCCTTGAACGTAGCCTGCGCTGGAAAGCCAAAATATCGCGGTTGTTTCTGATGCACGAATATTTCTTGTATACACCACAAAATTGCTTATAAATTTGCCGTAATTAGTTGTTTCTTTGTATGCCGCACTATATTTTATTTCACTTTAAGTGTGGACGCAGCCGACGCTACGAGGTGCAGAGGCCGACAACATAGCGTCAAAAGTATACTAACTTGCTCTTTGTCTTCTGTACGTGTCTTATGATTGCTCAACTAATCTCATGTACAGGAAAGCCCCACTGAATTGCGTTTTCACAATAACTTGTCCCATCAAATCAAAGTGTCGGCTGAGTCCGGACTCAAGTTGAAACGAAGTATAGATGAGCACATTCTAT